ATGACCCCAGTGCTTGGACCCCTGTGCCCATGTGAGGCCCTGAACCTCCAGACCATTGTCTTCAGACTGGCCCAAATGCTGGCCTTTGCAGCCATTTGGGAAATAAACTAGCAGATGAAAGATTTTCATATTCTTTGTCTATCCTCCTCTCTCTGTAAATCTGCCTTAAAGAATTCTTTAAAAACAGATTCAATTAAGAACTAGAAATAGCTTCCACATGTTGTTCTACTCCTCAGTGCCCACAGTAGCTGGGTCTGGGTCAGCCTGAAGCCAGGAAATGGGTTCTCAATCCAGGTCTCCCACCTGCATGAGGGGCTCAAATGTTTCAGCCATCATCTACCACCTCCTAGTCTGCATTAGCGGGAAGCTGAAGTCAGGAATGAAGCTGGGACTTGAACTCAGATACTCTGTGGTGGGACATGGCATTTTACTTTTTGTCGTAACACTAGGCTAAACACCCTGTCCTGTTTCTTGATATCTAACATGCTTCTAACATCATATAATTTTTGACCTTCTGTCACATTTCTTGCTTGGCTCACATCTCTCCATGGAGTTTTCATGTCCTATGGAGTAGGGACCTGTGAAATCAGGGTCCCCTATACGTATGGGGGCACTGAGAGGCACATCTTAATGGGATTCTTATGCTTGAGCAGAAACTCAGATGTAACAAGACTCAAGGGGCCATTGGGATGGGAAATGGTCAAGTATCAGTTGGGTGGTTCTTGCTCAGACTGATAAGGGGACCACTGTGGGTAGTGATCCCCAGGATTGATAGGCAGATAAAAGAAGGAAGACCAAAGAATGTACTATGTTGAAGGCAGTGCCATCCAGCCTACCATGCCTGTCCATGAACACTCAACTGGCCTCTCCCATGTGTTGCAATGTGAAATGCCTGTCTTTATCAGCTAGCAAATGAAATCCCACATCACAGCATCAGCCACGATGCTCAGAAAGCCTTGATGAATACTTTTAAGGCCATTTTCTCTCAAGGAGAAATCACAAAGCATTTATTCTATTCATTTGTTGTGTGGAAAGTTGCCATACCTATATGGAAATACTCTTGCTCATCTTCCCACAATGTACCCCTGAGAGATTTCGGACACAGATATCAACTTGGGAAAATCCTCAGTACAAAACATCAGTTTGGCTGGATTCCTTTTGGTTCAGGAAATTTAGAACTTCCCACCTGAGCAGAGATCATTCTATCCAGAGATGTTCAAGTCCAAGGCTAGATGCTACTGTCCTTCAGGCTTGTACTCATTCATTTTTTTTTCAGCCCTCCTTGCCCCCGTTCTGCTTCTGCCACACCACAGGAATGTTCTTGCCTTAGAAATTTGGCTCTTCCCCCAGATGTTTCTGGGGCCAAAATCCCTCAGGTGCTGGCCTTTACTTGGAGGTCAACTTCTCGTTGAACCCATCCCTGTCTAATGACACATCTGTCCTTCTGGAAACACCATGAGAGCACTCATCTTTGTCTAATTCACTGACTTTCATGTGTCTAGCATGGGCCCCTGGCATATGACAGGTGCTTTATACATATTTGTTGCCAATATTTGCACTCACCAGCTTTTGAAAACCTCAGTGATATTTGATTTTGTGATGAGACCTTGTCACCTTCAACCCACATAGGAGAGTCAATTTAAGAGGAAATGAAAATACATGAATAGGCAGAAATTAGTTTTCCATTCAAAATTAAGCCCTGTGTATGTTAAATCTTAATCCTCTGCTTTATTATATAGAAGAATGATGATGTGAGACCATGGGTTTAGAGTAGCAAGTGGAGGCAATCCATACAGCATATAAAGGAATTGGATTCCCAAACACATACAGGTGGTCAAGCCCCAAAGTTAGGCTAGTTGATTGAGTAAGCTGGAGTCTTGACCTGATCGTGGAAACCAGAAGGTAAGGCCAGTGGGAGGTCTTTAGGTGATTGCGTTTCTCCTAGGAAGGTGGTCCTCATAGAGGGTTGGTTATTTAATCTGAGTTTGACCTAGTTTCTTTGCTTCCTGATTACACCTCTGCAAGTTTGGCCATGACCCATTTCCACTGAACTTCAGACTAATGAGGCTGCCCCATCCTGAACTCTGAACCTCTGGACAGAAGGCAACATTAATCTTCTCCTTCCCAAGAGGTCACAAATAACTAATATGGCAGCATTTTTTATCTGTGTCCTGGAAAGGAAATCTAGATCTTACCTCCAACATAGATAAACCTTGGGACCCAGACTCTTTGTCTCAGATTCCTGGAACCTCCCAGCTCACTTAAAGAGGACGCAGAGATTATCCAGGAAAGAGAACAAATTTTCATTTTCCCAAGGTCAACACATAGCAGAGTCAGATCCAAGAGATCGAAGGTAACCTGGGCTCCATTAGTGTTCCTTCTACCAGTGGAAGAAAAATAACACGAAAAAATGGCTTGGATTTTTCTATTCAGTTAAGCTTAAAGGAGCATTGGCTCTACTGTAGGAGTCAGCAGATGTCCACTCCTTTGCTCCTCATGGATCAATGAACAAATGCAGAAATCAGAATTGATTGCATTTAGTATAATGTCACATTTGTCCTGTCAATGATTGCAAGGCCTCTGCCATCCCTGCTCCATGCATTATTAATAAGATCTAATGTATAAAATTGTGATACGTATGCATGTGGCTCCAGGAAGGGTCCTGTGAAAACAGTGTGTAACATGGGTGTTTATAGCCCAACTCTCCACACTATAGGTATTACCATTTTTTGCCCTGGGATTTTATTTGTTCTTAGTATTACCTGTAAGTGCAGATGTGTGTGTGCACATGCACACACGCAAACACAAGGGTACTTCAAAAGGTTCAACAGAATGAAGTTAAAAGCTAAGTTTATTTTGGCACAAAAACTCTTGACTTGCATGGGCAATCTTTATAATATGCATTGTCCATGAACCTTGAGGAACCTACATATTTTAAGTCTACACCTCTGAGAATGTGATACAGTCAAGTAGTTTAATGAATTAATAATGCTTTTACTACTCTAAGTGCCCTATTTGCCTAATAACTTGTTCATAGTATTCTTTGGAAATCAATAATTTAAAAAGTGTAATTAGTTTTAAACTATTTATTTTGAGAGATTAAATCTCTTAAAAATCTCTGCACTGATATGCCCAAAGCCATTTTGCTTTTCCAGTTAGGGCTCTGTTTATAGCAGATTTAGTGAGTAGCTAACAATTCAATTGTTCTACCATTAATAGTCATTAAATCTGTCAGCCTCAGTTCATTAAGAATCCACATTCAGTACACCATGATAGACTACAGTAGGGATTTCAAAAAGCACACAACCACGCAACCTGTGCTTTTAGGGAACTCAGTCACTTGTGGGAGATAAGTAGGGAAAACGAGAACTGCCTCAGCATAGATAGTTCTCTATGCACGGTTTAGACAGTAAGACAGGGCAATGCTTATGGTAGAAATGAATGCCAGGTCCACATCATCATCATCATCATCATCATGCTTTTGCCTTGAATTCTAGATTGCTTTCACCCTTGGCCTCTTATCTGTTGTTGCTTTTTGTTTATCTGGAATCTAAGAAATCTTTAAAAAAAAGTCATGGATTTCCCCAGTTTACTCTTGTCTCCTGGAATGTAGATCATAACCTGAGCTAAATAAAACCAACACACGTTCATATTGGAAATGGATGGATCAGAAGAAAAATGCCTTTTTCCATTTGCTATGTAAAGTTGTGTAGGAGCAAATCTTTTTCTCCTTGATGGCTAATATGGCCATTTATAATTATGTTTTGGGTATACCACATTCATTGTCCTGAACTGAAAAAATTTTCAAATTATTAAACACTAATATGGATTGATTTTAATGATATTTGGTTTCTTTTTTCTATATCTTAATTATGGACTCAGTCATATAAGCAATTTCAAGTTATAAGGTGCATGAAAAGAGGGGCCAAACTGAACTATTTGGACAAGTTTAATTGGCTAAGGAACAGGGAGGTTCTTAGTTGTGCAGATTTTACAATTGAGAAAATCAGAATTGAAAAGGTTATCTTCATTGTTAAAGGTAAGCTTTGAAATCAGTCTAGTATTTAGATCTTTTTGTTCATATTAACTCCATTTGTTTATCTTTTTTTCTCTGGTCATGATGTATGTTTTACAATCTGGATTATTTAAAAGATGCAATAGACCCTGCAGAACTTCTAGTTGAACCTCTTCATTTTGTAAATGAAAGAGCTGAAGTCCAGAGACTGAGGAACAACTAAAATCAATGATCTTAGGAGTATTGTGATGGACTAGAATTCTAGGGTGATTACCTCATCTGTTGGTGATAGGATATTGCATTCTGAGTATACAAAAGTGGTCTTGTCTTCTTTTGTAGACATTATTTAGTCAACAGAAACAGGATTGTCTGATGAACTCATTTCAAATTCTCCTGAATTTTAAAGTTATGGAATATTAACAAATTTAGTTGATTTCTTTGCAAAGTCAGTTGGGTGTTGTCATACGCCATTTATTGCCTGTGTTGTATTATTTTACTTATAAACCTTGTGGCTTTTCAATACTATAACAAATTATTTAAAGAAGCTACTTAGGAAGAAGCTTTGCTTCAGCCTATGGTTGGAGGGTCAGGTTTTGGGGTCCCATGGGTCTGCTGTCTCAAGAGGACAATGAATGGTGTAACAGAAAGGGTCAAGGAGTGTTTATTCTTCACGTCCTCTGATCTCTCAGTGAAAGCATTGTGCTTGGATCATGCAGGCTCCACCCTAGGAAGTTGATCCAATTTAACTCATTATCAACCTTCAGGCATTACAACTGTAATTCTTTACACTTAATCCATTAACCTGTGGACAGCAAAATCTTGCTCTGTAAGGAACAGAATTGAGAGGATCATCTTCTCAAAATGGCAGAATCTCTTCTGGAAGCAGATAACTAATTTGGAGGAACTCAAGTCTCCTTAGGCATTTTTATCCCTGAATAACTAGATGCAAAAATTTTTGTTAAACTGAATTGTAATTCAGACTTACTTGTCAACATATTCAACTAGATCTGTAGAGGTCTTGGTTGACATTTTGGTTGGAGATAATCTTACCTAAAACAAAGGTCATTGATTTAAAATATATCATCTCCTACTTGACAGGCTTGTCTCATCTATTTTATGCTTTTTATGTTTTTATTTTGAATAAAGTAGATGCCGTAAATGATACAGCATCTGTCCAGTTAATTTTGCTCATGCCTCATGTGTACGGCCATCAAGTTGAAGAATAAAATGAAAACATTCTGCTGAGATAGTACAGAGCTGCATTTTATAGGTTTGAAATTACAGTCAGAAAAAAACATTTTGGAAAAGTCAAAGTCCTCTATTCCTAGATAATTCATAAATGAAACAGCCAATGATTATTGACTGAGTTATCAAAGACGTTCTTGCAGAATGAGTTACTGATGACATACTGATTTTTAAGGAAGTCAGTTAAGATTCAAATATGAAGCCCAGAACTAGAAAACTAGTCTTGGTAATTTTATTTTGTAACAGAGGGATGTGAAGCTTATTGAATGAAATCAATGAGAAATAAAAGCACAAAGTTTAGCTTTATACATAATTTATTACTATTAAGTATAGTGGGCTTTATGAATACTTAACTGATAATATTTAGTCCGATAAAATTATACTACTTAGAAAGTTCTTTCTACATGTAAATTGGTAACTTGGCAGCATTTCTATAAGGAAAGAGGATATCAAATGTGTTTGCTATTTTACATATGCTGAAAATACTTTAAGCTCTTCAAGGTTTTGTTTTTCAGTTTAAGTGTAAGAATCGGGCTACAGATTTATGTTAATTTTAGTTAATTTGCATAGCCTATCCCTGAACTGAATTCAACCAGAAGAGTAAGAGTGGTATTTTATCTAGTTCAGAAAATTAAACCAAATAAATCCCTAGGGTGTTTTTTTTCTTGGTTTATGTTACTAAGTATCATATGGGCAACATGTCTGAAGACATACACAGAAATCCATCCTATTGCAAATACCTGATGAACCACCTCTTTTAAATTGATGGCCAAAAAACACCTTTAGAAAGTTCCCGCTTGAACACACAGCAGTAACAGCAACCCAAAATCAGATTTGGCAAGTCCATTATCAAGGGAGTGAACAAAGGCCGGGTGTCCAGTGCACCTGATTGAGTCCAAAAGGATTATGGCTGCTCAGAATGGAGTCCTTGACTCTTAGGTACTGGGTTGTCTCTTATTGTGGAATGGGGTCTGATGCTGGTAGGCCCAGCCTTCATGGAGAGAAAGGCCCTGCTGCTCTACTCAGTACCCCAGTGTCCACGTGATGACAGCCATCCTAACTCGCTGGAGGACTTGACTGATCTGCCTTGGTGCCCATCCATTCTCCTTCCTTCTGGAAGCATGGTGGACCCTGGGTTTCCCCCTACTTCCTGTGAGTTCGTTCCTCCTGCATGTTCACTGCTCCCTTGACCAGTGGGAGTCCATCTTTGGTAGTTCTTCAACAACTGGTTGGTCTCAGTGGTTTGGCTTCTACTACCCCTCTGTAAGTATTTGTGCATTGTGAAACAGTGCCATGAATAACGTGTCCAAGGTTGCTAAGTCAATGGATTTTTGTCCTTCCTCCTAGAGTGCAACTCTTGGAAATATATCTGTTATTTTTCTCCTGATTATTTTTTATGTCTTATTTGAAAGACCACAAGTAGCATTCCTTTAAAAACATACCCAGGACACACACTTTCTAAGTGTCCAATGTTAAGCAAAATGATGGAGGGGAAAATTGTAAAAATACAAAAATGTAAATTCCAGATTAAAAACCGCCTCCCTTGAAATTCTACCACCTATTGGTGCTAACACTGTAATATAATTTTCTTGTTTTAATACATTGTTATGTAACAGACAGTATTTACATTCTTATCTTTGCAAATTAACACAGAAGTTCTGATATATCTCATACCCACAGCTAGGTTGTAAATATCAATACAAATTTTCACGAAAAGTTTGACTGGTAGGGTTTGTTTTTTTGATGTTTGTCAGTTTTCATTAATTTCATAATACTTGCAAATATTATAATCCCTTATGGTTCTGTGGACCATAAACATTTTTAAAATATTGTACAATTTCTTCTAATTCCATTAAGGTGAAAAATGGGATTAAAAGATAAGTCTGGGGTATAAAATTTTAAAAATCCATGTGTAATTTCTTTCATAGAATGTATTTCATGAACTTTTGAGGATTGCTCTTGGGATTTCAATAGTTCTTTTTTTGTCCCCAAAATAAGCTTTTAATTCCATTTTCCAGGAGCTTTCTGACATATTCCTGTAGTTCACTTTATGAATGACATTGTAACTTTGTGTGACTGAAACCTTCCCTTACCCAGGATTAGTTGAAGATGCTGATTTTTATAGGTGACAAAGCAAAGGCTCTGGGAAGGTAATGGACTTGCTCCAGATCAGGCAGATTTCAAAGAATGTAGTGACTGGGCTCTGCCTACCTGTTCAGCGCGTTATCAAAGTGAATTACACCTTGCAATGGCTGCAGGGTAGGTCTAATTAATTCATTTTAGAGGAGAGGAAACAGTCTGACAAAATTACCCAACCTCCCAGGGCTACCGACCGAGCAGTACCTGCAACAGGCAACCCAGGAGCAGCATTCGCTCTTGATTTTTTTTTCTGTTGCCCTTTTCATGACAAGAGGCTGCATCCACAAGTCAGGTGTTTGGGGAATTGCAAAGCATTGTCTAAAAACACTGCTTGTTTTGAAGGTCCACGTTTGTTCATGAAAAAGGTACAGCAAGTACTAATAAACTATTCTACGTAACCATTCTTTTTCCTGTTATATAAAGTCTACACCCGGAGGTTATCAGGGCTTCTTTTGATCTTTAGAGCATCATGATCAAATTTTTAAAAATCCTTAGGTCGACATAGTAAAAGTCAGCCCAAATATGTGTAGACCAATTGAGATCCTTTTCTTCCTTCCTTTTTTTCCTTATTAGTGTGTGGCATTCTCAGCCACTTGATCATGGCAGAACAAGCTAGGGATATGGCCAGAGTGAAAGGAGAAACCATTCTGCCAGGACCCCGTGAAATTCCCTAAGCCACCCTCCGCTCTAAGGAAGCTGAGTAAAGATTCCACTTTGGGAATGAACTTCTAAAGTACTTGCTTTCTGTTCTTGGTCAGCGGCTGAGTCGGAAGCTGGGCCATCAGGTTCATCAGGCAGCTGCTGTTCCTCCGCAGTCGGGGAGACACTTTTGTTGACAACTGTATCTAGGCAACCAGAATGCTGAGTCAGATTAGGAACTCTGGCAAATGAACTTGTGACATGGTGGATTTCTTTTTCTTTTTCTTTCTCTCTCTCTCTCTTTTTTTTTTTTTTATAAGTATGGACAGTAGTTTTTGAACCTATGGTGGAACCTCAAGGGAAATCTCCAATTTGTTTTACTTTTGTCCTCTTCCAGCCCCGATTTTGACTCTATCGCCCCTGGACCCAAAAAGTGTAGAGTTGGTTTGATGACCATAACTTGCAAGCATTTATCGAAGCAGAAGCTTCAGAGGGCTGACATTGTGGTGTAACTGATTAAGCTGCTACCTGCCACACCAGCATTGCATATGGGGACCTACTGCTATCCTTAACGCTCCACTTCCCATCCTGCTAACTGTGCACCCATGTCTGGGAGACCCTCATAAAGCTCTAGACCTTTGCCTGCCCAGAACTTGCCACGGTGGCCGTTTGGGGGAGTGAACCAGCTGATGGGAAATCTAACTCTGCCCTTCAGAATAAATCAGTTTTAAGAAAGACACTAACTGCATGAGGTCTAGCCATTCTGGAATAATGGGGGATGATCCTCAGGCTGTGGGGCCCAAGTCGGCTGAGGGTCTTTCCTGGGATTCATTAAGTTTGGAATAAGGAATACAGGGATGGGGTACTAGTGCTGTGACATAGCAAGTTAAACCACCACTTGTAACATTGGCATCTCATATGGCCTCTGGCTGCTAATGTTCCCAGGAAGGTGACAGATGACTCCCCCTGTTACCCAAGTGGGAGACCAAGAGGATTCCTGGTTTCTGGGATCAGCCTGGCCACCTTAGGGAAGTGCCCAGTTGATGGAAGATTTCTCTCATTTAGTCCCTCATTGATCTCATTTATCTCTCTGTATTTCAAATATATAAAACGTGACCTTGTATACTTCAGAGAATAAATACCTGAGCTCATGACTTTGAATTCCCAGCTCTATTTTCAGTTGATTTGATGGTTCTGGTTTGTTTTCTTCTCTTTCTCAGAAAGTCGAAGCACTAAGGAATCTTGGTTGTGTTCTAGCAAAAGTCTTCCTTGGGCATCTTCCTAAAAGTTGCTCAGTGGCATTGTGACTGCACAAAGCATTTGTGATGTCAGTGGGGTTGACACTCACGTTCTGTGTTTGGCCCTGGGGACTTCGGTGCATCCGGAGATTTCCTCAATGCTCTTTATCATAAAAATCCCTGGGTCTTTGCTTCTTTAGCTCCTTGAGTGGGAAGTAGCTCTTATGAAACCAGTAGTTCACACCATTCTTCTGATTCCTTCTTTGAGGTTGGTTATGAGAGCAGTTTCCACCAGTCAAATTAGAATGTGAAATGCTTCAGCATGGCCCAGGTTTTCTCCAGAGATACTAGGTGAGGAACCAAGCTGTCCAGCCATCCACCAGGGACACTACCAGGTGAGGAACCAAGCTGTCCAGCCATCCACCAGGGACACTAGGTGAGGAACCAAGCTGTCCAGCCAGAGGGAAGAGGCTCACAAATAACACAGCAGTGGATGTGGGTCAGGGTGGAATTCAAAGAAGATTGTCAACTTTTTCTTTGAAAGTTTTATTCAGTCACTTGGCTTAAAAGGAGAGGATTGTTTGAGATGTAAAATGTTCTAAGTTAAGAAATTAGAATTTACAGGTTCTGTAATCTGCAGTTTAGATGCAGAAATGATGCAGTTAGTGAAGTTATAGCCCAGTCATATGGTGTTGAATGTGCTTTACTCTATGAACTCCTGGTGTTCAAGGTGACAAATGCCAACCTTGTATCAGGCAGGTTAAGAGCACCGTGGTTTGGGCTTC